TTTGAACACTTCTATGACGTCACAGAAGTGGCGCTACGGCTATTGGGCCAACTCCACCAATCAGGAGGAGACAGCCACGGAGATTACCGTTCGAAAGCGCTGGAGACGCTGTAGTACATATGTCAGGCCTGTAGATGGTGCTGTTCTCACAGAATCAGCCCATGATGCAAAGACAGTGTTAAATTGAGCAAAATAAGGAATGGCTAAAATGCATGATCTGTTTGGTATTTTGAAAAATAAAAAGTATAAATATGCCTTATATAGGTATGGTCCTACACTATATTATTCAAATATAGCATGATAGGTCCACTTTAAGGAGATGAGACAATATAATATTTAGTAAAGGTTACTGTACAAAAAAAACAAAGTTTCTATTTACTGAAACCACCACGTAACAGGAACAATTATATAGCTTATATATAAAGCTTTTTTAACCTATAAAATACTATTCTGGTCATTAATTGTGGTAAGACTTGGCACATACTGTAAAGTGACTAAGTAACAGGAAGTGATTTATTCTCCATATGAGCGACTCTTCAGACAGTTTTCTAAGTGGATTGCATAGTTTCTCCATCACAAAGCATCAAAGCAAATTCCAGACACCACTTTATTTCCACAACAATTAGAGCCAAACGTTCTTATTTTATGACCCATTTTATAACAAAGGCCCTTTCCCCCCACCCGACTAATTTTTTATAAAAGCACAGCAAAGCATGACACATTTTCAAAGCATCCAACTACATGAGAACTCTCTCGTCTATAAGTGGAATTGAAAAACATACTTATAGAGACACTTTAATCCAAGAAGCTTTTATAGCTTGTGACATATAGCTTTTGTTTGGTAGGATGTCTGCACCACCTTGTGTTGAAAGAGCAGACTTCAAGTTGAACCCTGAGATTTCACATTCTGCATGCACAGTTGTATCTTGTAGCCAAAATGAAAGTTTAATGAATCACATAACGTGCAAGAAATACATTAATTAATATTTTCTCTACATTACATTCAAGTTTTCATATTGAACTATTTAGACAAATGACATGGACTAAATGTAAGTATATCACATTTCTTAATTACAGTACACTTTTTTACATATCATTCTTATTGATATTTAGCACGACGCAAGAGGTTCAAGTAAGAAAATACCAATGGCTAAATCATCTATCGGGTCATTTCCTCGTCATTCTTGTTGGTTTTTCCGTAGGAGATGTTCAGCCTGCAAGAAAAACCCATGAAGTGTCAGCTGATGCATCAACGTACACATATTCAACAGCTAGGCTCTGCTTTCTGATTACCAGAAAGTCCACGGGGTCCTCTGGTTTGATCCTGGTGCACTCTGTCATGGCCGCAGTGAGCGAGGGCATCACGTACTTCATCAGGTAATTCCTCAGAGGAAGCGAGTGAGCGTCGTGAAGCTCCTTCTCCTGCCGCTGCACCTCTGACAAATTCTCCTGCTAAGAAATGACAAGAGCATTCGATTGGATGTTAGAATTTACAACTTATATATATCAATATTCCGATTACTTGTATATAGACTATTTCTACAATATTCTATTTCTATTATCTGTGTTATTGTGTTGCACTGTTTGAGGAGCCTGTGACCTACTAATGTAATTGCCATGACTACACTGTAGCTATGCACACATGACAAGAAAAGCCTTGAGTCCTTGTAACACGCAGCACTTACCCACTCGTCGTACTGAGCAGCCATCTCGGCCAGCGCTGCCTCGTTCCTGCGTTTCCTCTCAGCAGCCTCTGCAGCCACTTTCTGTTTCCTCTCTTCCTCCTTGTTTCTCTCCTCTTCCTTCTTCTCCTCCCGACTCAGCCCATAGTTTTTAGGAACCCCCACCAGCTCTGTGATCTTCTTCACAACGTCTGCGTACTCTGGATCATCTGTAGTGACCTCTGGAGAGGAACAAGACACCATCACTGTGAAGAAACACAACCTACAAGCAGTGGCGGCTCCAGAGTATGTTTGTTGGGTAATCTATGGTAGGGCTAACCCATACAGTGGTGGGGCTCAAGTTAGTATTTGCGATGCAATTAAATACACGCTATATCGCCCCCCTTGACAACATAAAATACACATTCTGGTACTCTCTTGAGAAGAAAAATAAATAAATCTATTACTACACATTTAAAAAAATGAATGCCATTTTAGTTTTTTGTTACTTTGTTCTGAAAGATGAACCTGCTGCTCCTCACAGAGAGGAGAGGGAAGAGGCTGTGTGAATTACTTTACATTGTGGATAAGGGTGGATAGCCCCCATTGTTCTGTGTGTCAAAATGAAAGACGGCCCACACACCTATCAATCATCAAACCGTGGGGTCTTATTTCATTGCACTACCGCAAAAGTATTCTCCGTCGGGACTTCCTGCAACAACACCACGCCGTTATCTTGATTCTGATTGGCCAGAAGACATTATCAAAGATGTTCTATTGAGAAGACGATCACTACGTGACAAAAGTTTTCAAAACCGTTTCTAGTCTTTGGTATTTCCAGACAAGTGGCTACTGAAATCAATCTTACTAACTGCTGTCTGTGCAATTTACTCCGCGCGAGTTGGCGGACTTTATTTTGCTTACTTTAACATCATTTTTCATGGTGGGGCTAAGCCATTTCTTGGTATGGCTGTAGCCTACCCCAGCCATACCCTGGCGCCGCCACTGCCTACAAGTGTCTCTGCAGGACATTATGATGTTTGTCATGAGGTTACACTATTAGATGAATTCATGGCGGGAAAGCAACAAGAAAACGAAAAAGTGCATTTCCATAAATGTTGAAATATGTTTTCAAACAGAAAAGTCAAAGTGCTCTTTGAAATGTGAACCAAAGAAATCTGGCGACTACAAAAAGACAAAGACATGCCCATATTTGTCTTAGCTGCATCATATACAACTTTAAAAACGGCAAGAAATCAGCATTTCTCCGATTTTCTACATTGGAGATAAATATTCTGCAATTGATGCATCTTGCAATAATGTGTTTGTCTTGTTTATGTTTTTCGATGAACTATTTGTCTTTGATTCAAATACCAATATGTTCTGGGTGAATCTCGAGCTCATCGAAGTAGTCCAGCAGAGTTTCCTCGGCGGCACTGAGCTCTCTGTATCTGGTCAGGCGAGAGGAAAGCTCCTCCTCGGTGTATCTCATCTCCTCTGCCACGCTCTGTGGAAGCCCCCGAGCTCTCTGCGTCAGAAAGCCATCCGTCGCATTGAGGGCGAAAACATGCTCTGCAAAAACATTAAAACAGTACAATAAGAATGTTTCCTATGAGGAGATAGTTCAGCGGAGTTCATCTGGGTTTCATTTCTGGTCAATTCAAGTAAGAAGTGAATCAACCACCTGGGGTGATCTTCTTGATGTATAAAGGTGCTTTGATCATCACATCCTGGTTCTCTGGGTCCTCCTCTGAAGGTTGAAAACACCACATTAGTTTAGTTGTTGTTGTAGCATTAAACAGTTATTACGTGGATGGAACGAAACTTACCAGAGAAAATCAGCTTTCCTTGCTCGTAGGTCTTGGGGAAGCCATCGAGAACGAATCCTTGGTTCCTGCATGGCGGCGAATTCAGCTTTTCTTGCAAAATGTCAAAAACCAGATAGTCAGCCAGTCGCCCTGAAGGATCAACACAGAGGTTTAATCATAAAGCAAGGAACTAAATACTCACTATGCACAAACGATCCATCAATAATCAATCTGCAGACAGACTGAATGCAAAGGGCTCAGGACAATGTTTAAACATGTTCACAACCACGTGTCCGAGATGTGTGGTTGGCTATGGTTGAATACAAATGAAGAACTTTTTTATTTTTTTATTTTAGTTTTTTGTAAACAAACAGCCAGACAGACAACACAATAG